TCAAGTTTATTGTTTTCTGTTTGGTATTACATTAATAAATAGGATCCATTTTGTTACATCTGGTGATTCGTTTATTTAGCAATCGCCATGACAGTCAGCAGTGTTTAAGAACATCCATTGTTCGACCTGCTGGTCAAATGCGTTTTGTTAAAATATACTTTTTCACTTTTTTGGTCTTTTGGAAAAGGTTGTTTGTGCTGTATTTAGACCCCTCTACCAAGAAATTTGTTTTGAATGCACACGTATAAAAATTGCGGTTTTTATCCAACGCAATCATAGGTTTGAACGTTGTTTTCAATTTAGACTTATTTTATATTTTTTCGTTTGGGCTTGTATTATATTTGCCTTCGGGTTTATATAATCCGTTCATCCTATTTCGTCTCTTCAAAATTCAAGAGTCTATCCTAAATTGAGGTAAATTATATGGCATTCCAAATACCGTTTCGATTCCTAACATCACTGAAGAGACATATGGTGTACCAATTTCTGCACCTCATTTTTGCGGTATACCATCTTTTCCGCAAGTTTATTCTTTTCTGTTTGGTATTACATTAATAAATAAGATCCATTTTGTTACATCTGGTGATTCGTTTATTTGGCAATCGCCATTGTAGTCAGCAGTGTTTAAGAACATCCATTGTTCGACCTGCTAGTCAATAGCGTTTTGTGAATATACTTTTTCTTTTTTTTGGTCTTTTGGAAAATATTGTTTGTGGTATATATATATATATCATAGGTTTGAACGTTATTTTCAATTTAGACTTGTATATAAACCTATATATATTAAAAAAGTCTAAATTGAAACAAAACAGAAAACAATAAACTTGCGGAAAAGATGGTATACCGCAAACAAAAGGTGCAAAAATTTTTAGTACACCATATTTTCTGTTTGGTATTAAATTATTATAAAGATCCATTTGTTACATCTTGTGATCCGTTTATTTGGCAATCGCCAGTGGCAGTCAGCAGGGTTTAAGAACATTTGTTGTTCGATCTGTTAGTCAAATGCGTTTTGTTAAAATATACTTTTTCACTTTTTTTGGTCTTTTGGAAAATGTTATATATATATATATATATGCATTGAATACATCCATCTTCCTTTACCATCTGAGGAAAAGAGGAAACGAGTACGACGCTTTAAACGTAGGCCACAAGAGACTGATTCACCTTCCAACATTGTGGTCAATCTTTCCAAATACCAGTTAACGGAAGCTGAAACATATCTTCTCTCGAGAGGCTTAAATTTCTGTCCTCTGCCTGCCCCTGTCAATGAAACCAAATTGTCGGAAGACTTTGACAATTTTGCCAGAAGTCTACGCATTAGGGAATATTTCGCGTCGAAGGAAAATAATAACATAAGCTAGGATAGTGACTCAGAAATTTCAGAAGACGAGAACAACTACAAATTTATAAAAAAAAAGTACTTAGATCCCTAAACCGAACAAAAATGCCACCTTGGAATCATTTATAGACAATTTTAAGGCGGACTTTATTAGAAATATCAATGAAAGAATTAAACCTTTTGACAATCTTAACAATGAAGAACGAACTGCACTGAAAAACTTACGATCTAAATACAATATCGTCATTAAACCTGCAGAGAAAGGCAGTGCAGTAGTTGTCATGGATAAATCTGCGATGCAAGGTTCTACCAAAAACTAGACTCTGATCCTACAACATCTTTTAGCAGAGAAATAACTGATAGTTTGGTAGAAATGCACGACGATGGTTTGAAACCAGAAATCCAAAACCGGGCAGATTTTATCTTTTACCTAAAATTCATAAGGCCAATAACCCAGGAAGACCTATTGTTTCAGCGAACGGTTTTGGGAATTCGTTGATTTCCATCTTCGTCAACATGTTGAAGACTTACCATCTCACATCAAAGACACAACCGATTATCTCAGAAAAATGCAGGCCTTAAATCCACTTCCCTCCGACACGACACTTGTCTCTATGGACGTCACCTCCCTCTACACGAATATTCTACATGCAGATGGCATTGATCCATGTACAGAAGTTTGGAATTCCCGACCAGTAAAATATCCACCTACTGAATGCCTGGTCAAAATGCTCACGCTGGTACTAAAGAATTACAACTTCACCTTTAATGGAGATCATTATCTGCAAGTTAATGGAACTGCTATTGGCACTGAAATGGCTCCATCATATGTCAACAAAATTATGGGGAAATTAGAAAAAAAACTCCTTGAATCTTCAATCGAAAAACCGCTTTCCTGGTTTAGATTTATAGATGATGTGGATATGAAATGGAATAAAAGTGACGAGGATTTAGATACATAAATCACTCATGCCAACAACATACATCAAAGTATCAAATTTACTCATGAGAAATCTAAATCCAAAATCAACTTCCTCGATACTTTCAGCTCCCTCACAGATGGCATTATATCCACATACCTATATTCTAAGCCTACTGATACTCACCAATACCTTTCCCCTAAGAGTTGTCATCCTGCTCATTGTACTGAGAGCATCCCGTACAGTCAGGCACTCAGAGTCAAGCGAATATGTTCGAACACAGAAACAACTAAAAAACAACTACGTCAACTCGAAACCCGCTTGAAGAGAAGGGGCTACAAACACAGAACGATTCAAAAGGTTTTCAGAAAGCGGAAACTATCCCACGGAGTAAACTGTTAGAATACAAAGATAAAAATAAAAATAAAAGGACTCCATGTGTTATTACTCACCACCCATCTCTCAAAAACAGCTTCGGTGTCATTCGGAAGCATGGGAAAACAGTTGAAAAGAATTCCAAGTTATCTAAGATTTTTCCCGAACCTCCCATGATAGCTTTTAGGCAACCCAATAGTCTGCGGAACCTTGTGTGCGGGCTGAAATGTCTGATCATAGAAGTACTTCTGGAGAACTTTTCACAGTAAGGCAACCGAAAATAACTATAAGAAATTTTGTAATGTTACCTGCAAAAGTATGAATGTTATCTACATTCTAGAATGTTCGGTTTGTGGCCTCCAATATATTGGTGAGTCAAAGCAGCCTTTCCACAAACGCCTCAATGATATCTCTAAGAAGCCACTTCTCCCAGTTTCTCAGCATTTCAGACACTCGGGTCATAAACTTGATGACTTTTACAACATGAAAATCCTAGTGATTGAACAGAACATTCACTGGACTGATGCCCAGCGACAGATTTGGGGGAGCTTTTGAATAAAGGAACTAAATGTACACCATCCAAACGGCATCTATATATATATATATGCTATCTTAAAGAGACTCGGTTTTGTCTTCTTGTCTGCTAAAAAGAGTTACAAAGGAATAGATTCCATAGTATGTGTTTTGAAATGAAATGATTTTTTTTAACTCTGTATCTGAATATAAATCATTATTTATATAATAATGTTGTGTTTAACATTGATATTATCATATAAATATTATATTATGACTCTCAGTCACCAAAATGCATGAGATGAATAGTGGCATGGATATATCACATGGGAGTCATTTAGAGCAGACTCGTCTCAGTCATTAACTCCGAAGAATTGATCCGTTGTGGGAGACAATATTGTCGGTTTCAAATGCTTTCGATTTGACACGTATTGTTACAGGCACTAGCATGCAGCATGTGAAAATGTGGTTTAGGAACATGGCAATTTCAAAAAGAGGTTGCTATATATATTTTTTTTTCGATAATATTGCTAAGTTTGAGGTAGTCTCCTGCATTTATTTTTATAGATGTATTGATTTAAGGGCTGTGCCTTACAGATTCAACTGTGCAAGTGGTAATTGTTATGTCCCACTTAAGTTCACAATCTCTCCGACCGAAACTTTTGTTGCCTCAATAGCGAGCATAGATTCGCTTTTTACCGATATACAATATCGATAAAGCTACTACTTTGGTGTGAACCTCAATCAAACATTCTAAAATATCGATTGTTTGTTATTTATATCAAGACAAAAACTGAAAACCCAAAAGGTCGAAAGATTAAGGAGTTATTTGTACGACCCTTGGGCAGGTAAAAATGTACCAGCATCACTCAATTGATGTGAATAATAAATGTTTGTCATCATTACGAAAATAAATACTATAACAGACGCCTCAATTATATTGAGCTCATTATCATCAGTTGCTGGAGAGCGAAGACGTAATAAAAGAGCAATGAATACGTAGAAATTTCATGCTGGTGTAGCAAAACGCTAAAATATTGTCACAAGATGTCTGCTGGCTCTTCCCGGCGCACAGTTTATCAGTCACGACAAGTGTCTATGTTAAACATCGAGCAAACAGGAGGTCTTGTTCAAGCGGAGAGCAAATGATATAAAGAAATGGAGCCAAGCAATTTGAAAGCAGAAACACATGACATCTTAGCAAAATTATTGAGCTTATTTGTTCCAATGACACAAATAAACAGTATGTTCACGGCGATGCTAAATACACCATCAAGTGATGAATAAGGGTACCCATGGATGAGCTAATTTCATTCAAAAGTGGAATTTCATGTAAAAATCTGTAGTTGAAAAACTTCAGAAGTTAAGTTTTTCCCCTTTGAACCTCATTCGTGTGTTTAAAATAGGCAAATGTACCATAGGATGGACATATAATTGACCTTGAATCATAAATCAACAATGCTTTGACCAGAGAGAAAGAATTCAGTTACACAAACTCTAAATAAAGCTGAATAATGTATACCCTGTGCATCAAACACATGCAATTGGCAGGAGATGTTACATCACTTTGACCCAGCTTGAGGTTAACAACTTACTGATAAGGTCATTACTCCGCCTCCACTGACCAGTCATGAACCATTAATTATAACAAGATGACAACAGGAACCCTTGATTGCTCAATATATAAATTATTCCTCTTTTTTTTAAAATTTTATTATTAGAAAATTAAATTTTAGTTGTATCAGAATATAGTTTCTTACAAAAATACAACTTGTTTCTGTTGATATTGAATATAAATGCTACGTTCCCTTTTATTAAATGGAATCTTCCATTAAAAAACAACAACTGAGAATATTTCCTTAATATTTTATTTATTTAATTTATAATTCTATTTAAAATAAAACACAATCACACAATTAAATTGATTAAAAATGCCAAAAGTACCAAATAGAAGACACAGTCATCATTTAATAGAAGAAGATGAGAGAAGAGCTTTTGTACAAGCAGTCAATGAGTGTGGGTAAGTTATGCATGTTACATAGGTTCAATGTATTGAGGATCCACAAAGGGAATTTGTTAAATATATTCAAATTTTCAATTTATATGTACAATTTTGTGGAATTAATAATTATAACTTACATTTGTAATTTATTTTAAAGGTGAAACCTTTTGTAAGATAAGATAAGAATATTTTATTGGTTTTAATTCCAAAAATATAGGATCGCTACAAAAATTTCACAATAGACATAAAATAAACATAAACACACACACACACACACATATCTATTAACACTTGTATAAAATTAAAATTAAAACAAGTTAAAGAACCTTTTTGAACACGGTCACATACCCCAAGCACCCACATTGTCACTGGACAAACAAAATCTCACCAGATTCCAAAGTTCAAAGACTCATGACTCTACAAAAGTCAACTGATAAAAATTTTCTTTACATATTATGTCCTCATTAACTACAACGTTTCATGAAAAAAATTATTTGTTTTACATGGCATTATTGAAGGTACGTTTTCTTCAGAACGCTTATCAAATTGTACTGAATATGAATGAAATATTTGCCACTGGATGTTAAGCAAACAACAATCAACCAATTTTGTTTATGTATAGCATTAGAAAGTCATCATTGTCATTTATTATTTCACATAGGTTAAATGGGGAGCAGTTTGCAGAATTCATTGGAGATAATGTTACTTCTCACAGAAGAAGAAATAGGGGTGACAGGAAAACTAGTTGGATTTTTTTATTGTAACTGGGCACATTCTATGAAGGTATGTATATAACAAATATTACAAATCATACAGACCATTTAAAAATATAAAAAAATATAAAAAAAATTTCCGTAACTATAGGACTACATTTGTGTAAAAAAAAAGATTACTTTAGATAATTTGAAATAGGTTAAGACGTGTTATAATCATAATGACATGTATAGTAACTTTATTTATAATTTTCTTCAAGAATTCTAGATCAACTTCTTATTTTGACAGGAAGCATAGATAGGCCCTGAAAATGCCCACTATGCCTGGCCAAATGAGGTTTTAAAATACATGAGATCATATAAGTACGTTTTGATGTGAAAGGAGAAATAAAAAAGGTGTGTCCTTATTTATGAATAATTTGTGATTGTTGTTTGCTTTACGTCCAGTGGCAATTAGTTCTTCTAAATTTAGGATGATTTTTTAAGATAAACAAATCAATGATAATGATCATTAGAATTAGTGTTTGGTAAAACTTTTGTAATAACTTCAATAACTAAATAAAATCATAAAAATTAACTTTGTCCAATTTTATTTATTACAGAATGCCTTCAAAATGTCAATGGTGCAGTTCTGTGAAATTGTAGGCAGGAAGAATGACATAACGGAAACCTGAACAAATAAACACCGATTAGACAAAACAATAAATATTTATAATAAGTAAAGGTTTTATTCTACAGTTGCCTGCTCACACGAACCCCTCTTATGTCCTTTCATGGGATTCCCACATTTCTTGCATTTCCGTCGTGTTTTGTTTTTACTATTGTTTACAGGCACATCTCTACTATAGTATTGTTCCTTTGAATAACTATCATTATACTGCAAAAAGTCATGTTTTGCAGCCTCTATTGCTTTCAGATCTGTCCTTCTTTGTTTGGCATTGTCACTGTGTTTGTATGCTGCATGTCTCAGCCTTGTTCCATCAATAACCGTCCATATTGATGTGTTGTTTATTCCAACTTTGAGATTAATTTCATGAAATAGCTGGGTGTTGAAATTGACCATTCCTTCGTTGAAATGTCCAACAGCAAGTGCAACTCCTGATATTGTTTCAGTAGGACTGTGATACTCCCCTTTAGAGAGATAACTCCATATTACATGATGTAATGACTCATTCTGGTTTTAAGTCAAACATTTTTCTGCTCCTTTTAATAACTGCAGAGAAGACAATTTATCAAAGACCGGTTTGATCATTTCAACTAGTACTGGACTTAAAGGATCAGGGGTAGGTAATTTCTTGTTCCTGAAACTGGATTTTTTTTATAACATCAATTATATATAAACATATATATATAAACTTAAATGATATTATCAGATTACTATATTATTGTATTTTTAGCATATTCAGAAATGTCCTCAAGTAATTTAATTCGATTTACTTTATCACATTTGTGTTTGTTTATTTTCTAATTAGTGTTAAAAGGACAAACATAACCAGTAATATTGATTGCAATACTAATCCTAATTGACTCCAGCTGTGTCAGGATGTTTTACATACAATATACAACATTTGTGTCAATAAATTAATTGATAATCTCAGCCTTCATCATATGCAGATATTATATTCAATATTATAAGTAGATCAGTATTTGAAATGGCAATCTGTCTTTTAGAAATAATTATACGTCAGTTAAAGATAAACATACCTTTGTTTTGGTCAACTAATCTCTTGAGATGTTTTCCCATGCGCCCTTGTATGTGACCAACACAATCCTCTGTATAATAATGGTTGGACCATAAGGATGACTGTCAACAACACTGCCATAGGCTGAGCTGTCCCCATCACCAACAAATGTTGTATACTGTAATCCATTCAAATCTTGTGACCTTCGGAATAACATGACAGCACCTTGAGCTTCCATGGTTTTTGCTGATCCCTCATGATTGAGAGTGCACACCTTGTCATGTTCAACAAACCATGAGAGAAATTATCTTGTGTTTGTTTTTCTCTCACGTTCCCATTGTTTACATCCTTTACATTCATTTGACAAAGTCACATAGCCAAGAACTTTTCCCGTATCAACAGATATAACACTAACAAATCCATTCCTCGAGCTGTATCCTACATGGGCCCATGATCCATCCACAGATACTGCACACTTGCATGGTCCTCCTCCATCCCATTCAGATGAATCCCTCTTGATGTTTTTCAATTCTTCAGCTGATTGTATCATTTTATCCCTACATATCTTTTCTGATGCCTCCTTTAGTGCTTCAGTGTGTTTTTAAAAGGTTTATAATTTACAGGAGCCGGTAAGTCCATGATAAAACAAAACTTCAACAGAGCATTTCGAGATTTCCCAATGGTTCTCATTGCCATGACAGACAGCCTGTTAATGTCCTTAGAATGACCAGATCCATATCCAGTATAGGAATCCGAATAAAATTCACATGTATGGTTACAGTTATCACAATTCCACTGAAGTCTTGAGCATAACCCACGTTTACCCGACAAGTTTTCAAGTTTAAGTGATCCAATATGACATTTCCGACACACTGCTGCTGAAGAGACACTTTCTTGCAAAGATTTCAAATGCATAATCAATCTGCCATGAATTTCAGAAATTTGTTCATCATCATCATCATCATCATCATCATCATCATCATCATCATCATCATCATCATCATCATCATCATCATCATCATCATGAGAATCTGATTCCTCATTGTCAGACTGTCTGCTTTCAGTGTTCCATTCGATGTTCATACCTAGATCACTGTCACTATCTTCTTTTTCATTTTCTTCTCTACTAATAATAGAAGACGAATTCAATTTTCTCAAGGACACACTTTGATTTCCAAAATCAGTGCTACTGTCTGTGTCAGAGAGTTCTTCAGTTTCCTCATTAAGCTGTTCATGGAGTTGTGCCTGGTTATAATAAGATCCTTTGTCAGATTCCAGCAGATCATGTTTACGCTGTAAGGGCATTGACTGTTTATCCTCTGTAGGTTTTTTTCCTCTTTTCCTTTTTTTTTTGACTTGCTATCCATCCTTTCTGATGCAGATTACTGACTTGAAAAATCTCCCACAAGGTCCTCTTTTATAAATGTTATCTGTGTTACTGATCACTGGTCATATAACTGTCCAATTATCTCATTGATAAACAGTTATAAGGATTGCCCATATGTTGTTATCTACTCTGGTCAAACACGTGTATTTGTTTACAAAAGTAATTAGCATCAAAAGTCATAAACAGTAAATCAGATTGGATATATTATTTCTTCTATAGGTCAAGTATGAAAATAAGTATACTAAAATGTTAAAAGTGAAATTTTGATAAAATAATCTATCTTTTGTATTGTGCTACCTTTACCAAACAGATGTACACTTTTTCATTGAATACGAGTATCAACGGAGTAAATAGACGGTTGATTTATGTATAGATTTTTTACATGCCTCCAAGTTATATTTAAAGTCAACTCAAATCGAACAAATCGTGATTAAAGTTAAAAAAAAAGCTTAGACAGTGAACGCTTCATGTGATCAATTCTCGCTACTTTGTATTTTACAAATAGTTACACATATATAGGGAAATTAATTTGGGATATTATAGAGTAAAGAGAAGCTTCGGGTTTTGCTCCTTTTGGGGTTCATACAACTTAATCTTAATGAATTTAATATATCTGAACAGCGGTAAACGATTATTTACTCTTAATAATAGGTCCCCCCTGTAAAAATGACCAACATTCCAAATTTTGAAAGATATAAGCCATATATTAAAAAATTCTCTGAAACTGACATTATCAAGATGCTTGATTTCTTGATTGACAACATATTTGTTACGTTTGGAGGACGTGTTTCTCAACAGACTGTCGGAATATTTAATTCCAATGGGAACCAATTGTGCCCCTATTCTTGCCGACTTGTTTCTTTATTATTATGAGGCTGACTTTATACAGGAACTTCTTAGGAAGAAAGATAAGAAGTTAGCAATATCCTTTAACTCTACGTTCCGCTATATAGATGATGTTCTCTTACAAAATAATACAAAATTTGGTGACTATGTTGAACGAATCTATCCCATCGAACTAGAGATAAAGTATACTACAGATACAGTTAAGTCTGCCTCATATCTTGACTTACATCTAGAAATTGACAATGAGGGTCGGTTGAAAACAAAACTTTACGACAAAAGAGATGATTTCAGCTTCCCAATTGTGAACTTTCCATTTCTATGTAGCAACATTCCAGCAGCGCCTGCATACGGAGTATATATCTCCCAATTGATACGATATTCCCGGGCTTGTGTTTCCTATCATGATTTCCTTGATAGAGGATTGCTGCTCACAAGGAAGCTATTAAACCAAGAGTTCCAAATGGTGAAGTTGAAGTCATCCCTTCGTAAATTTTACGAACGCCATCACGAGTTGGTTGACCGTTATGGAATAACCGTTTCACAGATGATATCGGATATGTTCCTTATGTCGTAACTACAATACCCTCCCTTTTCACGAATGTGACTTACCGAATTAGACTATTTACCGGATTTGTAATAACATAAGCAACACGACGGATGCCACATGTGGAGCAGGATCTGCTTACCCTTCCGGAGCACCTGAGATCACCCCCAGTTTTTGGTGGGGTTCGTGTTGCTTAGTCTTTGGTTTTCTTTGTTGTGTCATCTGTACTATTATTTGTCTGTTTGTCTTTTTATTTTTGGCCATGGCGTTGTCAGTTTGTTTTCGATCTATGAGTTTGACTGTCCCTCTGGTATCTTTCGTCCCTCTTTTAATGAATGTATTTAGAAGTGACGTAACAAAAAATTAATATATGACACATTGGAGTATCCTAATAAAATCGAATAACAAAACAAAACATATCTGTTGTTTCAAAATAGTGAGGGGCAAACATTATAAAAAAACTTCTCAGCAGCACATGCGCAACCAGATTCTTGGTAATGATCGTGATGACACTTATATGTTGCATAGATAGGTGGAATCCATCCACTGTTGAAGTGGACACAACTTCTAGATGGACCCCTCAGGCTTATATGCAATGTCTGGGAGTGACATGCCTGAAATTAACATTTCTGAAAAAAAGGTTATGAAGTTTTATCTAGAAACCAAGAATTTTAGGAATTCATAAAAAAATTGTAACTGTGACCTTACCATTTGATCTATTGGCGTCACTATCAACATCCTTTGTCTCGTTTCTGCTATCTACTATCTACCTCTTGAAAAAGTTTTACCTAATTCCAATTGTACAAATGTATCTGATATAATCACTCAGAAACAATTAAAAAAATCATCATATAAACGGAACCTTATATGTTATAATTTCAGTTTACTTTGTAGTAACTGTGACCTTGACCTTTGATTTTACTGTCGATAGGGTTCTTCATCATATCTATTTTTTTTTATTTATCTAAGTCTTGTTTGTAAACCAACAAAGAAAATTCAAGTTACATCTGGAAACTAGTTTTTATCCCAAAAATATCTGTTTTCAGTAACATTGACTTAAACTATGAAATATCAATAGGTCTTATCCCGATATCTGCAGTCAGTATAAATTCGTTTTGATTAAGCAAGGAAAACCTTGGATTTTTTTTCGAAATGCAAACTAAGATAATTTTGATACAGCATCTATTAACTTTGACATATTGACCTCCAAATACGTTAACGTCCTCGGCTTTATCTGTATAAGTTTCGTTATGATGAAACACGAGAAACTCAAGATGTTACCCGGAAAGCACTTGAGGTAGCACTCCACAGTTAGGTGTGTAGTTTCTCATTTTGGCCCCTGTGGATTTTTCAAATATGAGAGCTAGTGTGCAATAAAATTCATTTTTGGATAGCTGAAGATTAATATAGCCTTCATGGTGGGTTTATAGGAACATCTAGATTGTGAAATGCATGTACTATAGGCTGTTTTCTGTATGACAGTCCGTATTTTCATACCCATATCAGACATCGGTCCAGCAATTATTGCATTGTTTTTTTCTAACTTTTTGTCGCAAGAACTTTGTGATTAAATTTTACGACAAAATTGGGCGAAAGACAACCAATTTTTATTTGATCATTTGGTAGATTAATGTCAACAGTTTCAGCAAAGGTATCTCTCAAAGGTATTGAAATTCTAGTTTAAACCAAATTTTGGGGGAATATGTGATATTTTCATGCCCCTTTTTGCAATATTTTATGATAAATATAATGCAGAATGTTGCCATGGATACACAAAAAAGGAATTATTTTTCACCATTTTAACTTTTGAAAATCAAATCTATGGAAGATACTGATTACATACATATGCACATGTATGACACAAACAGTTGACTTAATGTATTAGAAAGCAAGGAATAGAAGATGATTAAACATTTTGTGGTTCAATTTTAATTTTATTTTCTAACTGTGGAGTGCTACCTGAAGAGATAAACAGTTGGACGGAGAAGCAACAACCATATGCTCCAGTGAATTTTTTCTGGTGATCTTTGGTAAACTAACGTTGTCATAACCTTGTGACAACTATTGTAAACTAACGTTGTTATAACCTTGTGACAACTATTGTAAACTAACGTTGTCATAACCTTGTGACAACTTTTGTTGACTCAATGTATTAGAAAGCCAGGAATAGAAGATGATTAAACATTTTGTGGTTCAATTTTAATTTTATTTTCTAACTGTGGAGTGCTACCTGAAGAGATAAACAGTTGGACGGAGAAGCAACGACCATATGCTCCAGTGAATTCTTTTCTGGTGATCTTTGGTAAACTAACGTTGTCATAACCTTGTGACAACTATTGTAAACTAACGTTGTTATAACCTTGTGACAACAATTGTAAACTGACGTTGTTATAACCTTATGACAACTATTGTAAACTAACGTTGTCGTAACCTTGTGACAACTATTGTAAACTAATGTTGTCATAACCTTGTGACAACTATCGTAAACTAACGTTGTCATAACCTTGTGACAACTATTTGTGACAACTATTGTAAACTAACGTTGTCATAACCTTGTGACAACTACTGTAAACTAACGTTGTCATAACCTTGTGACAACTATCCTAAACTAACGTTGTCATAACCTTGTGACAACTATTGTAAACTAACGTTGTTATAACCTTGTGACAAATATTGTAAACTAACGTTGTCATAACCTTGTGACAACTATTGTAAACTAACGTTGTTATAGCCTTGTGCCAACTAATGTAAACTAACGTTGCTATAACCTTGTGACAATTATTGTAAACTAACGTTGTCATAACCTTTTGACAATTATTGTAAACTAACGTTGTCATAACCTTATGCCAACTATTGTAAACTAACGTTATTATAACTTTGTGACAACTATTGTAAACTAACGTTGTTTTAACCTTGTGACAACTATCGTAAACTGACGTTGTCATAACCTTGTGACAACTATTGTAAACTAACGTTGTTATAACCTTGTGACAACTATCGTAAACTTACGTTGTCAAAACCTTGTGACAACGTTGATTGTTTGATAGGTAGCATTTTATTGCTTATTGTTAATGAAATTAACGGTACCAATTTTACATTTTACTGCATCAGATGCGCATTTCGACAATTAATTTCTCTTTGGTGATGCTCAAGTCCAAACTATTTAAACATTCAAACCCTAGTACAAACGTAAACAATCTGATGAATTCAGGGTTATTGTATGAGGACAAGACACCAAATAGCTGAAAATCTCAATGATATTCATTAAACGACTGATGAGCAAACCCAACTTTCCAATGGCCATACCTGCAAACATATTCGTTATTTTGCCTCTAAAGCCTTCACTCCCATCAATAACTTCATATATAAACTTAATATATAATTACAACTCGTTTTACTTTTAGCATTGCTAAATTCTACCGAAGCGACATATAACCGATTCTTGTTGGTGGATTCGGACTTACATAAGTTGTTTGTCGGACAAATGTAAGTACAAATGTGGAATGTTTTAATAAGTTGATTTTGAGAATTGGCGACCAGAAATGTGTGAATGTACAGTTTAGATTGTAATATTTTGTGATTGCTTATTATAAATGTCGTAGATAAATGTAAAAAATCCACCAAAATATTTCTTTTTACTCCTGTTATAGCTATAAGTTTCTAATGAAGAGTAAACTAATCAGTATGTCTGATGATATGCATACAACTAAGCTAGTTTACGTTAGTTTTCTCGTTTGAATTGTTTTACATTTGTCATTTCGGGGCGATTTATAGCTGACTAAGCGGTATGTGTTTAACTCATTGTTGAAGGCCGTACGGTGACCTATAGTTGTTAACTTTTGTGTCATTTTGTCTCTTGTGGAGAGTTGTCTCATTGGAAATCATACCACATCTTCTTATTTTTATATAGACCTATGAATACATTTTCATAAAAATTTCGTATATTCTTTAGGGGTTTCTCATAGCAGGAACATGGATTTCTTTTTTTCTATATTTTTGATTTTGCATGCAGGTCATCAAACATCCAAATGCTATAAGGCACCTTCACGGATATGACATTCAATGCGCTTATGCCACTATCGTTCTGAACATGCATGAAGTATTTGCTACTGGACATTAATCAACCAACAATCAATCAATGCACATATCAAAGTAAAGTCGAAACACATCGAATAAAAAGCATGTACACATATATCAGAGGCCGTATCAAATCGTAGTTTATAGAGACTGATTAGTTCAAAAAATATATTGCACAGTAATATAAATGCATGCTACTGACTGTAATTTTGACGAGATATAAATACCGCCTATTTGGCCTCGTGTTATCCTCGCTCGTAGTCTATAATTTATTCCATAGACGACTATTGAAAACCAAATGGGGCTTGTTTTTCAAGGGCACAACAGCTAATTTGTGTTAATTGTGATAAAATAATAATTGTGTATAATACGATTTTTTGTCATGATGTATAATAGTGTACTTATAATGTATATAAAGGTCTTCAGGATAAAATATGTTTAACTCAAACATCTTGATATTTTTAGGAACAATGTCAGTATAATAGATTTATCAGAAGGAGCAGTTAAAACAGTGAGTATGCAAACATGTCAATATGTTTTTAACATATTGACAGAAATCTGCTTTAAATAAATTGTGTTTCTACATCTTAGTTTCATGAAATTTGTGTATTGGTCTTACATGTTTGATTCCCTTTTACCTTATACACACTTTTTTCTTTCTCTATTACAGATTTTCAAATCATTATCAAAGTTACATGTATCAATATTTCGACCATGTTTGAAATCATTTAAAACTAAACGGGAACTATTGCATAAATTACAAAAACCATATATACCACTATCTCCCTCTGAACAAAACGTTTCTTGTTACAATGTTTACAGAACAGTTATGATATCTTTTCTGTGAAAAAAAACACGGACATATTAATAAAATGTTTTATCGTGGATGTGTCACATTTTAGACGTGTAGTTTTAAAATCTTCTGAATAACAATCTAATAATTCGCGATATTATTTCAATACGCCTTATTATAGATTTATATATTTATTACACTATAACATTTTACTAAGGTATAACAAGCACACGTAGTGATGCTCACTAAGAGTTTTGCTGTAACCATTTTCTTTTTTATGCTATCACTAACACAACCGCCAAACACGCAGAAAAGTGCACTTAAGTATTTGCCTGGAATGAAATGATTATACTTACATAAGCAACAAGACAGGTCTCACACGTTGAGAAAGATCTGCTCACCCTTCCGGTGCACCTGGAATCTCCGTTTTTGTTGGGGTTCGTATTGCTCAGTCTATAGTTTTCTATGTTGTGTGTTGTAGACTGTTTTTCGTTTTTTCCACGGCATTGTCACTGTGTCTTTAAATGTCTCTGTTGTATCTTTAGACTCTTTTTTGTGAATGACTGTATACACTTTTAGTTATCTTTTTTATTTTCAAAATATTTCCTTTACAATATGTGATTATAGGATGCAAACAAATGTTAACTGAAAAGTCTTTTAAAACGTGTTGACCTGCTACAATTTATAGAACTTTGAGAAACTGGGATACATTCATATGTTATGTCAATTTTGAACTTACTCAATTAAACTCTCTTAATTTAATACTTCGTGGTAGCGGTTACATATTTAGAGTAACATCGATGAAACAAGAATTATTGACCCTAATTATCAAACATAACTAATAGAAAATTATAATTTTGATGATGATATTACTTTGTTTATATTAATCTATGACGTTAATTAATTAGAATTACCTTCTCAATTCCAACGATTCATTTTGCAGTGTTTTGTTAATGTGTTTTTTCTAGGATAACATTGAACTTCTACCAGAAACAGATAAACTGAATTATTGTACCTTATCAAAACCAACGGTAAGTTAGTTAAAATACATACTGCGTGCATCATGTAAAACCTCTAACACGAAAATCTTAAATAAATTTGCTTCAAAACCAATGTCCCATACTCCCATAATTACAAAAACAAGATATATGATAGTTGTATTGTGCTAGATTATGTGTTTATTTTTGTAATTCAGATTAACATGGGTGTGTTTCACTTCTGGTATCTTAATTAGTGTCTTTTTTCTCTGCTTATGACTACCACCGGTTAAGAATAATCACCGAACTATACGATGACATGTGATCAACTAATAGATCAGAAACACCTGATTTGTCTCTAGGTTTTTGACAAGGTTCATAGTGTACAACTTTTAGTTTTCTGTGTCATATTTTTGTAAGGAAAATAATGTGTTACACTTATCAGAAATTTATTTAACAGAGCTTACTTATTCTTTGTAAAACTTCAAGCTTTATCATACTTTTGAGCTACCCATTTGCTTTTGCCAACTCGACTCAGCTTTCAACAATTGTTTGTTTTCTCTTGATTAAGGAACAGTATCAATTTTATCAATTTAACTTTATTTCGTATCAGGAGGTTACGTGCTTTGAGTAAAAAATATTCATCAAATATACCAGGCGTATAATTTGTATACCAGACGCGAGTTTCGTCTACAAAAGACTCTGAAGTGTCGCTCGAATATAAAAAAAATAAAAGTTGAAGAGTATTGCGGGTAAAACATTCCGAAATGTTTAGCCAAATGCAGCTAAGGTATTTTTTTCATTGGGTAGAACATCCTTGGTATTTCGAACAATTCATAGTAACTTCGAGCATTCTTCGACACGGTATAATATAATTGACTATTGTTTGTGCCTGTGATTTAGTTATCTATTTAACAGTTGTATGTTATATTTTATGTTCTGTTGAGTACTTGTACCTTCCGTTGGTCCGCAGATTGGAATTTGAAGTCGAGTATTGATAAGATCTCAAAACCTTGTTAAACGCTGCCACTTGTTTATATGGCTGTGCAGAGTCTGGGACTTCGCCCTTTGGTGTCTTATGTTATCTGTGGAATAAAAGTTGAAAAATGAATATTTAGCATGTTTTTGATAGGAATTTAGTATTTTTCCTAAATATTTAATTATGCAAACAAAAAGATGATAACTGTTAATTTACATCAACAAAATCATGGAATTGACAAATTCGATGTTCATGGAAAAAAATAATGTGTGGGGGATTTCTTCATATTTTATGTTACGAATGAAATTAAAACCAAGACAAAAAAGTATGATAAGAATGGTGGAATTGTATGTTGATAAGACAGGATAATATATTTTCATATAAAATTTGATGTTAAAATGATACAAAAAAAAGTCATATGCTTGAAACAATGACAATTAATTGCACTCATGAATAAAGATGCTGTGAATCTGATATAATGTCGAAATTATTTCATTTAATTATATCCGAGACGCTTTCTGTCCTTCAATATCAAATAAGGAGATATGGTTCGATTGCCAATAAGACGTAAATTGAAGCAAATATAGTCCACCGTAGGGCCTCAACAATGAGCCAATATATATGGTAAAGTCAGCTATAAAGGCCTCGACTTGACAAAATGTGAAACAATTCAAAAATAAAAAGCTGAAGAACTCATTTATTATAAAAAAAAAAAATGAACGGAAAACAAATATGACAGACAGCAACCAACGAAAACCTCTGCGGTACAGGCTCCTGGATTGGGACATGCACATATAGAATGTGGCGTTCGCCTCTAACTTGCGATATTGAAACAGTATAACATTAAAGCAAAATGTAAAATCAGTGGGAAATAGCTTGACTAATCAAATTGATACGAGGCACACATAAAAGCAACCAAAATAAAGGCGAAAGACAAAAATAATGATCTAGCAGAACTTGTAATAACTTAAAGCTAGATCAAAGCTAATAACGACTAATACATACATCATGTTTATTACAGCCTTAAACAAGAAGTATGAACATGAAATATAAGACATCAAAAATTATATACCTTGATTAATATGGTTCATTTCACTCTTGACTAACCTTCATCTTACTTAATATCAAAGAGAACCTCTACATTATGATCTTAAAGGTTGATAATTGCGTCCAAAAATACAGCTTTTAGCTTTTACTTAATTGGTATCCCTTGAAATATTACGACTGCTATCATAACACAAAACGTCTGTGAATTGTATAACACAGGTTTCTCTTTGACTATTGTGCCTTTGTTATTCTTCTTTTAATTTTTATACTGTAGGTTCCTGACTGTCAGAATCACATCAGATTTATTACAAAAAAGACAAAGGATAAATTGATGTTGTTTGGATCAAATGCAGATTCTCCAAAGGGGTTTGAACTCAATATGACTGACATGACTCAGAGTAGTTCAGTTGTTCCGTGCTCTAATGATCCGTTTCACAATTTTACAGTTTTGTATGTCCGTAAGCACTTGAATTTATTTTTATTTGATATATTTAAACGACATCATAAGATATTTTATTTTTATGCCGTTACAAACCATAACGTTCCAGGATGTAATTCTTGATCCGTTAAAGATTCACGAAATCACATCTCCCCGTAATACCATTTACCGTTCATTCCCGTCAACACTATTTACAAATAAGATTTTCACGTATTTATGTATTTCAACACACTACATTTCAAATGTTTGGTTTGATCTTTCCTGATGAGCGTAGATAAATATAAGCCCTTCATACGCACGAAATTTATAAATTGATATGTTCATTCCAGTTTCCCCATACACCAATTTCCCCATTGAACAATACCCATACCTCGTTCCTTTTTTCCATTTCCTTTTAAGCATAACCAGAACCTTTCAAAATTACCATAACATTTTGTTAACATATAGAATGAAAACACTTTTAATCTTATAATACCGGAATAAGAGACCACAAAAAATACATATACAAGTAAAAAAATAATAAACAATTCTTTATTAACTTTTGCATATCTTCAAATAACTGAATGTGATTGGTCCGTTATAATTCTTTCCGAGGTTTACACTTTGGTTGACGATGGTTTCGAATCTACTTATGTACCCTATATAAACACCATGTCGATAACACTGTGATATATGCATACGCAATAATGGAACCCTGGGGTCTAAAAAAAAACTGAAATAGAAAGAAACAAAAATGTCCTGTTCAGATTGAAATTATAAGGATCAATCACGTTTTGTTCTAGTGGTTCTAGTTGTTATCACTAAATTGAATCCCAACTAAAAAATATTGTTATACACATAGGTACATTCACAGTCCTACAATCAGCCGTCGACACCTATAATTTGGCATTGCACAAAGTCATGTTTTTCTCTAACTATTAATGACGTCTTTAAACTTAATCTTTTGGAAGTTGGGTGCGTTCTGATTGACATTGTAGTTTTAGATACATATTTTTTTTGTTAAATGTTATTGGCTTTAGACTTGTTTTCAGTAACTGCAAGTACTCTAAGATCTGTGTTTTGTGTGCTTTGTTGATTTTGTTACTTTTTTGTGCTTTGCATTGACCTGATGAGTTAAGCCCATTTCAACTGATTTTTATAACTTGTTCTTAATATTTTCATCTTATATTTCAGTTCCAGGTTTTTTTGTGTTGGGGGGGGGGGGGGATGTTTCGGACGTCAGCAAAAATGTTTACCCCAACACATTCTGTGCCTATCTAAAGCCAGGAGACTGTAATTCAGTGGTTGTCGTTTATTGCTGTATATCATATTTGTTTTTCGTTTATTGTTTTGTACATAAATCAGGCCATTAGTTTTCTCTTTTGAATTATTTTAGGTTTGTCATTTTGGGAACTTTTACAGCTTATTAAGCGGTATATGCTTTGCTCATTGTTAAAGGCCGTATGTTTACCTATTGGTATTAACTGCTACGTCATTTGGTCACTGGTTCAGAGTTGTCTCATAAGCAATTATACCACATCTTCTTATTTTATATAAAGAACTAAATATGATAACATGAAAGCTTGTCATACTACACTCTACTATCGACTACGTTATTTCCAAGTATATCTCATACAGTAGTGTCATTAATAGTGGAGATGACAGTCAAAAACCTGTCATCTATCAAGAATAAGTTCGTAAAGAAATTATAACGCAGAAAACATACGAGACATTAAAGACATTGAAAACTTTTATAAAGTCATAAATATGTGGATTGCAGAGAATATAAGAATAATGAATACATAACGGTGTGAGCCAAGACTCCGTGTTGAAGACCGTACTGTACCTATAATGGTTTACTTTTATAAAATTTTGACTTGGATGGAGAGTTGTCTCATTGGCACTCATACCACATCTTCTTATATCTATATAACGGTGTAATCATAACATTTATTTGTTAATCAATTAAGTAAAAAATAAAAGCTTACACTACAATAGGTCGATATTTCCTTTAAAAACTACTTTCTAGAATCACAGAATCCAAATGACGAGGAGCTAATGTATTATGCATCTACGTTACACGGTGAATCTACAATTCAAAGACCTATACCAGGAAGTACAGATTATATGAAAGGCGTAATAAGTGAAAAATGGATGAAAGGTGAGGAAATATTTAAACCGTTAAGTGTAATAAATACAAAAGCAAATATTTGAAAATTAAAGAAATTCTTAGGAACAGTACACGCTTGTATGTTCAGATATCGCAGATATAATCGCTCGTTTCAGTTAAGTTGTTTACTTATATATGCAGAGTAGAATGATTGTTTTTAATTTGTTTCACTGTTTGCATTGTTAAATAATGTATTAGACAAACATATTTTATGCTAAGTACATTACATCACACAATAAAACCACAGCAGAATCAAATAAAACAGAAAAAGGAAAACAAAAGAGTTCGATAAACAGATACGATTTTCTACAATATTTGATTGTAAGAAAGGAACTAATAATTCAATAATATTATGTTCGTTAATTATAGATCCACAGTTCGTTGCTTCATTTGACATTGAAGATAAGGTATATTTTTTCTTCCGTGAGACTGCAGTAGAAGTTGATCCTGCGGAAACAAAAATATATTCTCGGGTAGCAAAGGTTTGCAAGGTAAGCACCTATCTTAATTTGCATTCGAAGTTATAAAATTGAATTTAAAAGTGTTGTCTACGTTTATCTGTTTGATCTCTACTTTTCAGGATGTTTTAACCAAAGGGGACCTTTGTCACATTCTGTCTGCCATTATTCAAATAGAAAGTAATTATATCAAATATTATATTCATAAACAACGTCTTGTTGACCACATTCAAACAGATTTAGTAAAGATTATTTCCGGCATGACGGTCTTCAATGCCTATATAACATGAAATTATGAAATGAGCCAACGTTCTTTCGTCAATTTAATCAACCTTTTGATGTATTCAATGCTGTTCTAGTTGTCACAATGAATCCATATGGATTGCGCAACCATTTAAACCCATACATGATACTCGACTATTGAAAAAAACTTTATACACGATTCAATTGAGTCGTTACGTTGTCATTTAATGTTCCGAAATGTTAACTGTAATAACTTCTTCGTTTATTTTTTGAAATGTTTTTTTAAACATCATCGCATTCGATAGAATGATATCGGATAACAAACGCATTACTAACCAGATACCAAATGCATCGGTGCCGGCATGATATAACGCTGATATTTATACTTCTGAAATTCTTAGTTGTTGAATTCAGTTTCTTCCTAACGAGATTCGGGTGTTCATCAACTGGTTTTGCGTCGTCTTGAGATTTTGATTTGGGTTAATTGATCATTGTCGTATGAAACATTGCCTTGTCAACCTCAAAAGTCTCAATGTGTATCTTACAGGAAATGCTAACATGCTATGAGTTTTATTACGAAGTGGTTTGCTTTTAAGACAAGGCGTTTTGGTACAAAGGTTCATTTATGATGTAAATAAGTTCAGATATGCAGTAAATATGGTGCTATGCACATATTGTTCCTAATCTATTTATATTGACGGGATAATAAAAACGTTAAATACCTTTTGTTTGAAAACTAAAAAGTCGTGCGATTGTGTAGATAACAAAGTAGAGTGTACTAAACCGGTAATTCCTATTTGGTGCAGCTATATTTTAAAGTCATTTTCTCGTATTACATAGTACAATAAACTATAATAAATGTATAACGTTATACAATATTTAAATACCTCCATTTAACAGACAGACGCTGGTCTGGAAGCCATTGACACGCTACCTTTAAGTTGTTATTAATCTATGTTTATAAATATCATACAACTTAGAATTATTTTCATAACAGTGTGGACATGGACACCTGGTATTTAAATGTTATCGTGTTGGTCACTGGCTGCCGACAACAAAGACTTTACGCAATTACAGTATGTCAGGGTGTTTAATAATGACGAAGACATATTGACAATAACAAACTATATTAATTGACCTTCTATACAAGAGAGTCTCATATAACATAACAATAAAGTCTGGATCTTATCTGGTTAAGATATGTGATTATTACGGTATGTGACATCCCCCTTTTTCTAAAAGATGAAATGAAATGGATAAATGAATAAATGAACTTGAGTATTACGTTGAAATTAATACTGAAATAGTTTTGACTAGAAATTAATACTCACTAGATTAAAGTCTCTTTTACAATTTAACTTAACGTTTATATATTGTCTTTTCTGATAACTAACTTAAACTAACTGAATGCTTTCTAGCAACTACTTGACAGCTCAAAAGAAATTATCTTACATAGTCATTTAATTTGTTTGGCACTTTTATTGTTCTTCCAGATCTTGTCACGGGTGAATACTTTCATTATCCTCGGACGCAACGGTTTCAATGCGGTCTAATGTTTGTGAAGTGTTACAGACAGTTGAAGTTTTACGGACGGTTGTATTATTTTTGTGATTGTTCTTGTCATATACGTGTTCAACCGTGTTTTCTCGGTAAGCTGTTGGTCTTATATGCCTACGTTTTCGTCTATAACGTCTGTCATCTGACGTTTGCACTACATACGAGCGAGGAGTGTGGTGTTTTTGCATTGTCTGTCCTGGTTTCCATCTGTGAGCATACATGTACATTGTAACAACAGAGTCTCCTTGACTTAGCGGTTTCAATTCAGGTCCACAATGTTTGTCATAGTTCATTTTATTTTTCCTTTGGCGGGTTTCGAGTTTGTTGAGTATTTCACGGTTGTTGATGTTTTGTGGCATCAATAGCGGTAATGATGTCGGTAACGATTTTTTCAATCTCCGATTTAGAAACAATTGTGATGGCGAAAGATTAATGTCCAACGGTGTGTTTCGATATTCTAAAAGAGCTCTGTGCGGTTCCTCGATTTCATAATGAGCTTCTTGACGGTTTGAACACTTCTCGGCTTGTCCATTTGATTGGGCAGAGTGTGTGCTGCTCGTTGTATGTTTTAATCCATATTCGGTAGCAAATCTTTTTTTTTCTAACGAAGAAAACTGAGGTCCATTTTCAGGAACTAATTCGTCAATATATCCAAATTTTGACATTAGTCCTTTTAAATAGTCAATGGTTTTCTTGATTGTTTTATTATCAAGTTTCATCACTTCCGGTCATTTCGAGTAGACGTCAACTAAGAGTAGGTAGTGTTGTTTCTGATATTAAAATAATTCTACGGCAAGTTTCGACCAGGGTCGCTCTGGTATTTACATTAATTCATTAACATTGATTCATTTGCGTTAACATTCTGATGTTGAACGCAAAGTCCACATGATTTGACTTTATCCTTAATGTCCTGTCCCATATTGATCATCATTAACATTCTGATGTTGAACGCAAAGTCCACATGATTTGACTTTATCCTCAATGTCCTGTCCCATGCCGATCCATAAAAGAACATCACGTGCACGGCTTTTGCACTTTACGATCACAAGATGTGATTTGTGTATTTTGTCCAACATTTCATTTTGTAGCGCTTTTGGTACAATTGCTTTGTTTGACTTGTACATAAGTCCATTGATGACTGATAATTCATCACAGAAAGTCTAATATGGCCTCAATGAGTGTAAAAGTTCAGATTTTTCATTTGGCCATCCATCAAATATGACATCTTGTAATTCCTGAAGGTGCTCATCATTTGCGGTTTCCCTCTGAAATTTAGCATACATTTCAGGTGCATTTGGCATGTGTGATATGAAATGTCATTCACGTGTAAATCCGTTATTAACAATTCCTTTGTTTCATTTAAGAACGATCTACTGATAAGATATGCGAGATATATCTCTTTGCCAGGTTTGTAGTCAACTTTTAGATCATACTTTTCTAATGCTTTTAAAAGTCTTTGTAACCTAGGCGGAGTTTGGTAGAGCGGTTTCAAGAAGATTGATTGGAGCAGTTTATGGTCAGTCTCTATTTGAACTCGGCGTCCATATACATACTCATGGAATTTATTACATCCATAAACAATTGCATGTGTTTCTTTTTTGATCTGCGGTTTTCGTTGTTCTGTTTGAGTGAGAGTACGTGAGGCGTATGCAATCGGTTTCTGATTTTGTTTAGTACAGCTCCAAGTCCTTTTGAACTAGCATCAACGCAGAGTGTAATCGGTTTGTTCGAACCGTAGTATTTAAGCAGTGGTGCGTTTGTTGCCATTACTTTTAACTTCTGAAAGCTAAGTTCTTGTTGTTCATCCCAGTGCCATACAGTGTTCTTCTCTAGGAGTGTTCTTAACGGTGCACTGACTGTTGACATATTTGGCATAAATTTGCCAAGATATTGAAAAAATTAGGAATGTCGTCGATTATCTCTTCTGCTCCGTTATTACTATCTTTACAATACTGTTGCCTGTATTTACACATGCCCATTTATAAAATAAAGGATTGTGCATGAAAGTTTATAGGACTTTGTTTTGAATATATTTATAAACTCACAGCAAATAATTTCTTTTGAAAGAATGAGTATATTCAGAGGTAAAATCACTAAGTAATCGAGAGAAAAAACGTTATGCCTTTTCGTGCACAAACGGTCTGTGGCTCATTAAAAAAAAATACGAAAACATTTATTCGTAAGAGTTGATGTAGAGTAACATACGATCAAGTGCTTCTAACAAAAATAGTAATGTGCGATATGAACTGGTGTGAAATTTTAGAAATGTACCAGTTCATATCGCACATTACTATTTTTGTTAGAAGCAGATCTATGCAGTCCCTGTTGTAAATACCTAACCTACAATTTAATAATTGTACAAGCGTTGTTCGGTTTAAATTGTTTAAATTTAAAAATTGTTATAGTTCAATCAGAATAGATTGATATGACTCATTTTACATCATAATCATACTGATGAAGGATATCTGTTATCCGAAATATTTATACATGTGTAGATACTTACATTTAATGCTTCCTTTTTATATTGGTGTTGTTTTGTACACTTTTTGGGCGTTTATATAATTTATTTATGGTGTACAGGTTTACTCGCAACGATCAAGCGCCCTCGTAAGAAAGATCGTTGACTAAAATCTAGACCTTTTATATTTATAATAATATATTTTAGCGGCAATTAGTAAAATTAAGCATTAGGCTTAAATCCTAGGCAATAAGCTAACGCCTAAGCAGTAAGTCTATTGCCTAAATGATGCTAGGCATTATTCTTGAATCCTAGGATTTAAGTTTAAATCCTGAAAAATGTGTCCAGGCATTAATATTAATTCCTAAATGTAAATGCGAATAAATAAAAAGACATTTATTCAAAGTTTTGATACTTTTGGTACATAATTACTAATATTGTAAGAACAAACACAGAAACGAAGGATACCAAAAGGACACCCAAACTCACAGGTCTAAAAAAAATATGACAAAGCAATGACTAAAAAAGGAAAAGACAAACAACAGTACGCAAAACACAACATAGAAAATTAAAAACTGAGCAACACGAACCCCAACAAAAACAAGATGATCTCAGGTGCTCCGGAAGGGCTAGCAGACCCTTCTCAACATGTGGCACTTGTCGTGTTGCTCATGTTATTAAAAAAAAAGCCGGTGATTAGTCTTATTCGGCTAGTCACATTCGGGGAAAAGAGACGTTGTAGTTACGACAATTTAAACATATCCGTGTCATCCAT